AACCTCCACCTGTGAAAGCAGGGAAAGGGCAAGGCTGGACCTGGGCAGCCCAAGGCAGCACATGAAGTCCTACGTCTCTCAAGGTTTCTGTGATCCTCTGCTCACAGAGGTGTGCCTGAAGGCCGTCTGGTGCACAACGAGGAGGTCATCCTGTGTTTGCACTGTGGTGAAAGGTCCTGTTGCAGGTGGTCTGCGAGAGGTGTTGTGTGAGCCGACAGTGGTGGCAGGGTAATGCACAATGCAGGCCTGGAGAGTAGGAGAGGAGCCAAGCCTGAGACCTCCAGGTGGGATATGCAAAAGGTGGCTGCTGAGACAGCGAAAATGCTGCTGGGGCTTTGCTTTGGGGCCCTGATATGCATACTATCAGGAAGAGGGTGTAGGTAGGAGCAGGATGTTGGACAAATACATCTTAAAGCCTTTAGGAGTGACAAGTGGTAAATTATCACACACCTTTTCTTTTTTAAGGAATGGTGTATGGTCACCCCCAGGTTTAATCAGCCACCAATTGCTCCTGATGATGCAGAGAGGAAGCCTTTCACAGCAGCACAGCTCCACAGTCCTTCCCTTTGCTGTGGCTGTACAGCCCAACTCAAAAGATGGCACTGGAGAGTTGCTTTGCAGCAGTGACAGTAAATACATGAGGAGCAAGAAAAGAACATCACACCCTGAAATTTAGGGGAAGATTGAAGTAGAGCTGCTAATCCCACTTGAAAGGATGGGCTACTGCCCAAGTACAGGTTTTTTCCAATCCACTGGGAAAGACATTACACTGATGGCAATCGGATTGGTGCAGCCATGGCAATCTTGAAAACATTTAGGATATCTTTGATTAAATGATATAATGGGCAAATACTGAAATTGCTTCTCTAGCAAAAACCCAGCATGAATAGTTTTTTAATTAAAATGAGTTACTATGGCATTTTTATTTGTAAAATCACATGAAAGGGAGAAAATAAAACTGAGGGATACAGAGAGGGAAAACACCCCTTTATTTTCCTTTCTGGCTGATTATCTCCACACTGTTTTAAAAATCCCTTTGCTACCCTGTGTAATCAAGTTGATTAAAATTCTCTAAAGAAATAAAACAGCTGCATAGTCCTCCAAAATCACACTCTTCTCTACTGCATGTGCATTGTATTCTTTTCAACAGCTTTGTTTTCAAATTACTCTTTTCCCTTCATTGCCTCTGAAAGCCTATTACTGGATTTATTAAAACAAAGCCAAATAAGCATGCTGAATACAGACATAGTGATTGCCTCAACACATGTTGTTCTTGCAAGGAGTACTGTGCTAGCTGGTCTGAACTGCTGGCTGTTGCCGAACTGACTGCAGAACAAAGGAAAACCCATCTGAAATCATGAAGTGTTCAGTAAAGGCAGGTTCTGTATTTTGCCCTTCTATCACTTGCTGAAGAGCTAAAATAATAATTATTAAGCTGAAGTCAGACCATGACATTTTACTTCAACCCAGGCTAGGAGGAAAAATGTTCCTCTAAAATGACCTGACACCTTTCCACAACTGTCTCAGGGTGGGACCAGGTAGTGATGCTCTCTGCTGCTGTGCAAGCTGTGCCTTCCAGCAGATTAGCCACGCTGCTTCCTTCCCAATCCTGCCTGGCTTTGTTCTGCCTATCTGCAGGGGGGAGAAGGGATGAGGAGAAGCTGGTGGACAGGCTGGAGGCACACTACACGTATGCACGCTGCACACTGCATGCACACACACGCTGCACATGTGCACATTACATGTACGCAGGCTGCACAACCCATGTCTGCTGGCAGGGCCCGGCTCCAGTGGAGCAGGTGCCACCACTGCAGGCGAGCTGACGGTGACAGGCCTGGCACCGGGCTCTGAAATGGCTGGGAGGGAGGAGAAACACCTGTGCCCTGGCAGCTGGTTAGGTCACACACCTGTGCTTGCACCAGCCCTTGCACCGGTGCTCATGTGAACCAAGATGTCCCCAGCTGCTAAGACAGATCTCTCTGGGACAAGACCCTTTCTCCTCCCCATTCAATTTGTTTTTTCACAGGCAGGCTTCCCTAAGGAAGCAGGAGGTTTAACCAAATGGTGTTAAACTTGGCTCTGTGAGGAGGTGCATTGCAAGTGGGAACTGGTGCCTGAGCCACTGGTGACTCCTGTCTGGGCAGCAGGAGGGGTGCTCTGTTTCTTGCCTCCTGCACTGCTCTTTCTGTGGTGGGGCATTTTGTTCCTCACTCAGCCCATTCAGCCTTTTGCAACACTGCAACACTAAGGGAAAGTCGCACCTGCAAGCAGAGGCAGTTCTGCTGATGCCCATGGCTGTAATACTGTGGAGTGTGCACAAGCAAGATGCAGATACTTTTATTACTAGCCTCAGTCAGTATGATGCCTCGAGTTTTCCCACCTTTCTGATTTTGAAAATAAATTTACTTTAACTTCTTAGTTGGGACAACAGATGTCTTTGTTTTGCTAGGCAGTACTATTTAGATGTCTTGGATGTAGTGCCAGGTGCACTGGGAAAGTACTCAGTGCCTTCTTTCAGAGCAACTTTTCCTGCCTGCAGTGGACCACCCACCTAACCCCCAGACACCCCACACCCCAGCTGGCACTGTCCCTGTCATGGGCACCACCAGGTTTCCCTGTCACTCGAGTAATAGAAAAGTTTTCTGTCTCCTCATGGAGACAAAAATACCTCAGTGGCATAAATAAACCTACATTTAGTTTGATAGGACATACTGTGTTTACTTTAATGGTTAAAGAACCTCATCTGGGAAAGTGAAGTTGAAAAAACTACTTTGCAATTCTGAAACAGTGATAAAGTAACTCTTAAAGTGTTTAAAAAGATGAAAATGCAATACCTGCTAGATAAGAGTAAACAGAGTCAGTCCTATGCAAATAAAAGAGGACAGGGCAGCTTTTGAAAATTCCAAAGGCTAGAAATTTTTTCTGGCTACAAGAAAACATGTCCCAAATAGTTTTAAATCACTGAAGTCTATGTGCAGTTATCCAGATGGAGTAAAGTGCTGATCCTACAGACATTAATCACCCAATGAAGTCAGTAAGGTCAGAGTTTTACCCTGAGACTCTATTTTTTTTTAAATAATTCATATTTCTGACATTTTTATACACACTTACAGAGCAAGACTTACAGACTTCCTGTGCTGTGTCCGTATATATATATATATATATATATATATTATATTTATATCACTCCATGTACTAATGCTTTGTAAATTTTTTTAATGATTTACAACACTAAAGAAGAGAATTTCTAATTTCTCTTTATCATCCTATTCAGAGGTCATTCTTTCCTCTCTCCAGTGCGAACCACTGAAACTCTGTTCTAGAATGACATGAATGCATATGCATTAAGTGTCTGATTAAGAGCAGCCTTATTTCACAAAACATGAAGGTGTTTTTTAAGATGCAGTGGCGCTGCATTGTTTTGCAGCATGGACCTATAAAGGCACCATTTTTTTTCTTTAAAATGCCACAATATGGAGATTGGTTGATTCATATGGCTGTTTGTGTGCTTGAGGGAAAATAACAAAAAAGATGCATAAAACTAGAAGTCAGTGACAAAATTGCAGACACAGCCTTCTTGGGAGCTCTGGACACCCTAGAAAAGGCAGATAGCCCCTCCAGCCCCCTGGCTAACGGGGTGACCTCTGTGCCCGCATGGTGCACACAGGACCACAGAGGGCTGAGTGTTAATACCCACACACTCTCCAGTGAGTTACAAAGGCAGACAGATCTCCTGCCCTCAGGTTTTTTCTCCCAGCAGAAGTGATCTGGCAAGTTTGTGAACCATTCTTCTGTCCCAGTTTGGCAACTGCATCTTCTACAAGAACATTTTTTTTTTAAATTGCATATCATGGCATATGTTCAAGTTTTCTTAATTGTTGTATTTGAGAAGATTTTTTTTTTTTCTTGGTTTTACCCAAATAATTTCCGAGTGTTGAAGTAAGAGGATGTGACAACATATTTGTTCAAATTTCTGTACTGAAATCTCTGCTACTCACATTTCAGAAGGGAAGTATGTATCATCCATATAAAACAATGTACACAGCAGTGCTAGAATGTTAAATGAACTTTGTGATAGAAAAAGTTTCAAAATCCCTTTTAAAGCCTTCCCCCAAGCTTTGTTAAACAGGCCAACTTTCCACCAGTTTGAACAGTTGATATGGATGTGATAAAATTTTAGAGACATTTTTTAAAATCTCCATCTAAGTCCACACCTGCAGTTACTGTATGCATCTGTGTATGTGTCTAACCTTGTACGTGAAGCTGTGATCCTTGTGGATGATTAAAATTGTATCATCCATACGTTTTTCTTTGATCACAAATTAGTGTAATGCATTATCTTGATTCTCAGTAACTTCTAACTTTGATGTTACATTTAATATAACATAATGCTGTGTTGGAGAATCCCTCAGGAATCTTTATTTCATTTTTTAATATATATCATATTTTAAATGGGATTAAATTGTCTGATTAGTGAAGCAGGCTCTTGTAGCAGATAAACCCTGAATTCCTCAGGGCAATCTATAGCCATTGTTAAAGCATCTTTCCAAGATGCAGGCAAGCTTAGCAAACCCCATGAGATTTAAGCAAAACATTTCCCTCATGCTGAGGCTGGTTTCATGCTCCCATCCCTACCTGTGCTTTGTTCATTCATCTTCCTCCACTCAAGCCTTTGCTTTTGCATGTATAAATGTTGGTAAGGCTGCATTGTAAAGTAGGTGACAGCTGATATAGGCTTTCAAAGACAAAATCTCCCTGCCTACCCAAATGCAGAGAGTTGCCTGCACAAAGCTATAGGCTTTGAGAGTCTGTGCCATCACAGAGCATCATTCAAAAATTGCGGCAAGGCCATCTTCAGCCATCATCCCCACCAGGTACAATGGCTCCTTACTGCTCATGGGTTTCGTGCTGCCTTGAGGTGGGCCAGCACCTCTGCTTATGGGCACTCAAGCAGTGTCAGGGAACTTGTCAGAGCCCAAGAAACAGGGCACTTAGCCCAGAAGAACAAAGCTGGTAATGTGTAAGACCTTGGCATGGTTCCTGTGCTCGAACAGCCCTTAAAAAAATGCTTGGTCAGGCTCATGAAGTACACTGGACAGCAGCAAGCTAAGCTTCCTGAAGTCACACCACAGCCTAGGAAGGCAGCAAAACTACCCCTTTGTGCTGGCTGGGAAGAGACATCACTGAGCTGCAGTTCACTCAGGCCTGGTGCTAGAGTTATCCTATTAAAAACACTTCTGAAAAATGCTTTTAAAAGCAACTGAAGAGCAGGTGAAGCCACAAAGAGTGGGCTGAGACAGGAATGGACTGGGGCAAGAGGAGAAGAGTGAGGCTGACAGGCAGGTGGATCTTCTATTCCTTCTTATGCTCTGGTGGCTTCTGACTGGGACAACTCTGCCACCTGCCTTTCTGCAATTTCTGCAGAATCCAGCTCTCAACCACAGTAGCACATCCTATGGTTAATTGCCTCCAGCAGAATAGTGGTGGCATGTGCAGCTTAATAAACTCTGTCTGAAGATGGCTAGACAACTCTTCTGAGAGAGGAGGTCCTTCTTAGCCTGTCAAGCAGGAACGGTAGCCTTGAGAACCTGGGGCCATGCCATTATGTTCTTTATTAAATTTTACAAAGACTATCTATTACATTTGTAGAGTTAGACAGTGACAGGCCAAGCAGCTTTTGCATCACTATGCAAGCATAGGAAAATTCTTCATCACTTTGGCTCTTATTGCCTAACAAAAATGTATTATGCAAGAAGAAAAATTAGAAAGGACAATAGACTGATTAGCAAAATGAAAAAACAGATTAACAAGACATTAACACAAAAACCCTTTTAACTCACTATAGTTCTGCCTCTTGAATTGCCAGGCTTTTAATATTTCCTTGGAGATAGAGAGATATATACGTATATATATATATATATATATATAACATTGCTGTGAGATATACTACTAAGCCTGTAATTTGTTGAATAATATTCAATGAAAAGTTACATGTAAAACCACCAGATTATTTTATAAATAATTCAAACATTTAGTGTCATGATAGTGTTCCTACCTAAAGAATGCTGAAGTCTCCTTGCACAAGGCACAAGGCAGAGTTTTATAATGCAGCTGGGTTTTTTGGTCCTTCAGCATCCAGACCCATAAATGAACATCATTTATGTACCTAAGCAGATTACACAGGTGAATGACACAGCCACCTTTTCAGAGAGCTACTTGTGTGCAAAGCTTTTTCACAAAGTGATCAGCAGAAATACTCAGTGTATAAGGTGGTGTTTTAGCATTTTCAGGGTTGGGCCAGAAAAACAAGGAATAGGATAGGATAGGATAGGATAAGATAGGATAGATAGGATAGGATAGGATAGGATAGGATAGGATAGGATAGGATAGGATAGGATAGGATAGGATAGGATAGGATAGGATAGGATAGGAGGTTTACATATTTTTAGGACCTAAAGAAAGGGACACGGGACAGAAGTAAAGGGTTTTTCTTTATGTCTACACGGTAGAAAAATATCTCTTCAAATTTACAAAGGTAAAAATGTTTCATTCATAGGTGATCCTTTCCTTCCTGATCACTGGAAGACAAGAAGATTGTGGAGCCAACAGGTAGAAACATTTCACAATATGGTTGACAAGAAATATCACAATTTAAAAGCTCTAGGAGAATATATATGATGAAGGATCTGTTTGTGTAGACATAATAAGTGAGCCTGATAGCAACACAGCAAGACATTGCTAGCATCATGTGAAAACCCAGCAGGTCCAGGGAGTCTGATAAAACAGAGGCAAGGGGAAGAGCCCTCACAAACTGTCATTATGTTTTGGATATCTTTGGTGACCAAGTTTAGGAATGTGTTTAATTACCTTCTGCTTTGCTTTCCAACTGGTACCTAAATAGCTGATTTCAAGTAAACTGTAAATTGCATCATCAGCTGTTTGAATTGAGGTAAAAAGCAGGCAGGTGAGGCAGGCCAGGATCCTCCCATGGGAATATGCAAGACCTAAGCCCAAGGCACTGAAAACCTGAGTCAATAGCAAAGATTCCCCAAACTGGGCTACTACCAGAGAATGTGCCAGTCAGCAGCAAGGACTTCTATCTTTCCTGGCACTGTGTAGGCCCCCTCTCAACATCTAAAATCAGGATACAAAATTTGGTCATGCCCTCTCTTCCTCCCTCTTAGTACACTGCCCCCAAACCCTCCAGCTCCCTGATATCCCCCCAGCCCAGGACTTGACCCACTGCTTGCTGCAGGAGATGCCCTAGAAAGGATGAAACAGTTTTTCAGTGGTTCCTGTGCTGTTGGGGATATGCATCTCACAGTTCAAAAATCCTTGATATTAAACATGAAAGACCTGAGCTTAGCAAGAAGCAGCAAGAGTGATATTTAAGGCAGCAAATATCAGGCATTTTAGAAGAAATCACTATCCAGTACAGAGAAACAACCCCATAAACCACAAAATGACAGAATCCATCCCACTGGAAAACAGCCATGAGAAAGGAGTTCTTGCAAATGCATCTCTGATCTGAGAGACAAAATTAAAAAACTTAAAGCTGACTGTTGTGAAACCAGCTTCGCATATCCCACTAATTTAAAGAGTTTAGATAAGTGAGCTGATGTCCTGACTTGTCTGAGGACAACGACCGTATTGGTACTACCTTTAATGGGGCCAGGATGTCACCTCTGAACTTTGTGCTGCTGATCCAAAGCAGTCAACATCAAGTCATGTCAGTGCTCATATGAGCACAGGAATTAATTCAGTACAGTACTCGATTTGCTAAGGAACTTTCCCATTCATAGGCAAACAGTATCACTTTGCTCAAGACCCATATCTGCTTGTTTGATTAAAGTGTTTATGAAAATATTGCCATCACAGTTTATGTGAAAAATATCTCCAGGAAAATAATTTAGTAGTGGCAATTCAGATGACAAACTGTAATTCATAAACTCAGGAATAGAGCTGGCTTGAAAGAAGCAAAAGTGTTTTTCCTCTTAAGAAAGCTGACTTTTTCAGGGAAAAAAAAATGAAAAAAAGCAAGTCCTGGCCTCAAAACATATTTTGTTTCTAAGAAGTGGCAACAGTGTCTTGAGTTCAGGAGTGTCTGATTCCTTCTCTCTGGAATGTAGCTTGAGGGCCAGTCTCCTTCCATAATTTATGTTTCCATGATGTTCCCTTTCTTTATAAAGAAACATAGGAAACTAACCTCATTTGCAAAAACTTAGCTTCAGTTGAACCTTTCTCCACCTTGACTGTTGAACAATATTTGACCAATCCTTGTAAAAAAGTTTATCTTACTAATATTTTTATACTGATAAAATGAAATCTAAGCAAATAGAAGAATTTATACATTTTTGTATGTATATATATATATATATATATATAAAAGTATATACACAGAGACATATATAGATTTGCAGTAATTAAATCAGTCTAAAGAAACTCTCTCTCCATTTGAGACAATTCCACCATGTAAAAATGAATTCATGCACAAGGCATAAATAAATACCAATTAAATATATAATTTTTTGCTGGGGAAGAAAAGGATGCTTTGTTTTTTCCCCCTTAGTACAGTTATGTGTTAAAGTTTTTCTGCTGCAATCAAATATGGGGTTTATGAATATTGTTAGAAATCAGATAAAAAACTCAACTGGCCTGCATCGATATTGTATTTAAATGTGCTCTACTCCTGAATTGTTCTTTTTATCCAGAGAAGTCAAATTGTACTGGTACCCTGTTTTTCAGTCACATATTCTTATTTCCTTAAAATCACAAGTCACCCTGCCCTGTCCAGAACATGAGGACAAACATGCACACTACTCACACTCCTCTGTAAGACCCAGACACTAAGAAATCCTTAAATTAAAACTGGTATAAAATTTCAGATTTAAAATTAAATGTAGATGAAGTTACCTTCAGCACAAGGTAAAAAATCACCCCTTGGGGAAAAAAGTGCCTACACTGTAAACAGGAATAAGTGCTGTAATATTCCTGAGTATCAGGTGCTGGGAGTTCCCTCTGAAAGCCTCTGATTTTCACCATACATTGATTTTTATCATAAGCTGTTCTAAAATTAGAAGAGGCCATGATCTGACAAGTATCCTTTCTGTTTAGTCCTAGCAGATGGAAAACATGAAGTGCTTTCTTAGTCTGGAACTGTTCCAAAACCTGAGGCACTAATATGACATATTAAACCAAATTTATATGAAATCTAGTGTCTTTACATCATGCAACACCATTTATGGTATGCTGGGCAGTGACAGTTTAAGTTATGAAAATGCTGTGTCACACAGTGAATCAGAGCTGGCTTTATAACAGGTCTTGTGAATTTCTTCATCCAGAAAGAATAAATTTTGTGTAGAAGCATTCTCCATAGCACCCCTGAAGAGCAATAGATTAAAACTGGATTTTAGCATTTACCTCTTGCTCAACTGTAAATCAGGAATTAGAATTGATAATGGCAGTTATCCATTAACAACTGTAGATGAGCAGTAGTTTTATGGATAAAAGGAGTTCCTTTTTTTGTTATTATTACAGAAAACCTATCCTCTTCTATTTTGAATGTTTCTAAGCTCTGAATAGAGAGTAATTAAATCCATGAAGGTCATCAGCATGGACAAGGAGATGCATCTGAAGTAACACCTCTTCAGATTGCAGAAAGTTATTCTGAAACTCTTTTGCTCAGGTGCAGCGGTTCACATTGCAGACCCCTCTTGACAGAAGACCTGGAAGAGACATCTACCACAGCCTGCAGGATTCTGCCCCTCGGTTCATCGTTGTATTTGTTGGGCAATTGAAAGCTTTACGAAACTCTTCAAAGTTGCTCATGGCACCGATAACTCTGCAAAGAGAAAAGTGATCAACTGATTCTGTGATTCTATGACATGCAGTTTGTCTTCTGTTAAACACTACAGGCCTGCAAGTGTTTTAGTGTGTTCACTTCAGGTTGAATTTTCAGGCTTTTCCATGTCATTTTTCCACAAATAGAGCCAAAATGTTCAGGAGAAGCACTCCTAGTTAAAGTTAATGCAAAGACACTCTTGTTTCATTCAGTGCTTTGAGAAGCATCTTACTTTGCTAGAAACTCAACAAAAAACAAATGCATTTTGTGGATACTATGCCATTTAGAACAATTTTCTAATCTGACCCTTGACAGCAGAGTTGGGATATCAGCAGTAGCTTTGCATGGAGGAATCCGTCTTCCAGCACCTGCCAAACTACTGCAGTCCAGTAGGCAGGAGCTCGTAAGCACACTGTCATTGTGCTGAAAGTGGTTTGATATGGCTCATGCCATCCAGATCCTTGTAACAACACCCTTTGCCCACTCGTGTACACACACACAGAGACATGTTGGCTCCCTGGGACTTTGCAGCCTGAAGCTGGGGGTGCAGGCAGGACCTCTCCTATCGGCCAGCTCAGCCTTGTATCTGTGAGCATTGCAACTCCTCTGGTATGTTGGAAATACATTTTCTGAGGCTTCTGCCCTGACCAGCTCCCAAGCTCTCTTGCTTCCACCACAGATGGTGTGATAATGAAATAGCAGCACATCCCTGCCTCACACAAGTTAAACAACATGTCTGCATCCCAGACTGGCACCTTCAGGCATAGGTTTTGTATGCAGTCATCCTTGGTTCCTGCTTTCCTGTCTGTACTATTTCATGCTGTCATAAATTATTATTTTACCATTGCTAGATTGGGATTGCACTGTTTGCTAATTTTTCCTAAGGTTTTAAACATCTTGGAATTTACTAACCTGAAATTTGCAATGGTATTAAAGTAAACAGCACCCTGAGTTAAAAGCAGAAAAGTATCTACTGAGATATTAATTGTATGCTTTTTTCACTCTCTTTCTTTTGTCATGCAGTGGGAAGGCATTTTTCTCCATTGCAGACAATCAACTTCTCAGCATAGCTCAGCATGGTAGAAAACATTCTTATTACATTGATTAGACTTTCTGTGAGTAAGAAAATTTGCACTGACTGGCATAAAAATGTCTAAAGGTCAGTTTTGTAGGGAGAATTACAAAATGAGGTTAGGTTTCAAATAAAGTATAGAACTTTACTGTAAAAACATTGTAAATACATATTCAGGGACTGGAACAACAAGAGCTGGTTGTGCAGAACTGCTGCTGGACTTGGTTGGAGTTCTGCCTGCCAGGGATTTCAGTGTAAAACCAGTGTCCAAAAATAGTGAAGACACATATTAATACTGAAAATCTGCCAATTAAATAAATCCAGCATCTACCCAGCAAAAGATCTTTATATGTCTGTGCATGTGACTTGTCTATCCACAGTTTGGCACTGACACACATTAACTGTGGAATCAGAGTGTGCTGCCTGGATTTCATCCCACCGAACTACAATGGAAACATCTTCCCCTGAACAGGTCACCCTGGGCTCCCTTGGAAATCAATAGAAAGATGTACTTGCTTGGTCTAAGTAATCTAAATTTATTACTTACAGAGGGATGATCTATATCTATACTTTCAAAATGCCTGTTCTTTTCTGACTATGAAGAGAACCTGGGGTGACTAGCTCAGATGCACACACCTGTGCTCAGGATATGTGTTGTTCATTTCTATCATCTTTTATAAGTACTTTTTATCGTTTTAAACTGGCTGTTTGGGCTTTTGGATAGCAAGAGCTGTCGATGTTGAAATTAGTTGTTATAATGGTCTTGGGACATAAGTGAAGCAAAGCTGGGAGAAATAGATTATATAATTTGTTAGCCCAGTTGATATGATTTGTAAGAAGAAACAACACCACAGTTTCTCTTCAGGTCTGAAACAGAAGCCTGTTCTGAGTGTCTCACAAAAAAACCCAAAAAACTTAAAAAATGTTTTGTCTGTATTTTATAGACCACAAATTAATCTAATCTTCTCTGGAATTTTCTTTCTTAGCTCAATTCCTTCATGAATTTTCCTCATGAATGCTCTATCCCCAGGCTTCTCTACATATGTACAATCTAATGGAAATGTAGCTATGTAATGATTCAGAATATATAAATATACATAGAGGCAATTAAATCTGAGGACTTCAAAAGGCAAGAGATGGCTATTTTACCAAAATTTTAACAAGGGTAGGAATTATAAAGAAATATTACTTTGCAGACTGAAGATCAGCCTGATACTCCTGTCCTCATTGTCATGATATATTTTCAATTGTTAAAAGGCATGCAGATTTTCATACTGCACTAGTTTTACCCTAGCTAGCTGGTGTAACAGGTATTTTAAAGGTACAGTAGTGCAGGTTTCAATGCAGAGTATAGAAGCCTACCAATACCAAGCGCACACATCTGCAATACTAGCTTATATTACATATGTGTCATCATGTTTCGAGTTTCATTATCTCATAGCCCATTCTGGTTATAAGTAGCCCAAGGAATGTTATACATGCCATGTTTGTATCTTCAGCTTTGGTGTGACTGTGTCTAGGGAATATGTTGGAGTACCTGTGAAGCAATCTCACAGCTCCCCTGTGTAGATAGTGTTGCTATTTTTACTTTACCAAGAGAGAACTAAGGCAAAGGGGGCTCATATCACTCAAATTCAGCCATGGAGAAGGTGGGATCTCAGCTCCCTCTTTAGTCAACAGAAAGCAGTAGGAATCTCCAGAAGTCAACTAATCCAGTGTATCAGAGACACCTCCATTATGAATCACCTTGTGGAGTTAATATCCTTCCCCCAAATACAGAGGTAATGTAGCACTTGACTGAGGGCAAACACAATACTTAGTTAAGTAAATGCAACTGACAGATATAACTTGCTCTTGGTCACACAAACTCTGTGAAGAAACAGAAATAAGTTCTATCTTCCTAAATCTTATGTAGTCTTTAATCCTTCTCCCTTTCCCAGCCTCTCCTTCTTGGCATTTGTGGGTGTCTGTGGTTATGGGATCCTGTGGGAGGTCTTTTGGGCAAAGGCACAGACACTCTCTTATGGCTGGACTACCACAGCTCCTTCAAGCAAAAGGTCTCTCAAAGGCCAACTGAAGAGTTTAATCTTGAACTGAACTTACAGGGCATGTTTTGCTTTGCATTATCAATATAATTCAAGGTATTCACTTTAAAGATTTTCATGAACTCAGGCAGATTAAATCAAGGATCCTCCTAATATTCTCTGTTTTCTGAACTAGAATTGTATAGAAAAAAAAAGTGATAGAGGAGACATTTTAGATACTCAGGCCATGATTACAGACATCACAGGGGTCAGAGTATGTTCTGGTTCAACTGCTTTTGAAGGTAGATGCAAGCCCCTCATTTATACAGAAGAGCATTTGTAATAGTGAAAGATAAGCTAATAAAAACAGTTCAATTTCAATCTAAGCCAAGAGCACAGGCCAATTCTGTGATTGCTCTTAGATCCCTCTTAACATGCTAAATTTCTGCACTTGTGTGCTGCAGTGACTGATTCTGTATGTATATTCAGTAAATACATTATTTGCACTACCTGAACTGAGGAGGGCTGTGAGCTCCAATATATATTTGTTCTCTTGCAGATTCTGGTCTAAAGGAGTTGCATCTTACCTAATAAAAGATAAAAAGCAGAAATAGGCATGTTATCTGGGATGACTCTGTAAGTAAATCAGCATATAATGTCACTGTTCTTAAGATGCAGAATGCACAAAATGGAAAGACACCACAAACTCCTATTTTGTTTCACCTTTGCTAACTTGCAGGTTTCTGTTGGTATATTCTTTGTTTTTCAAATCCCTTAATGGATTCAGTCTCCACCCACAGTTATTCTCCACCCACTCATTCCCATCATCTAATCATAGCCACTTTACTAGTTCTTCTTCTGAAGCTCTCTATAATGGTAGTTTGCTTTTCAGCTTGTGCTGCAGCATCTCACACCTTAACAATTACCAAGCATACTTCTTGGTCTCAAAAGCTATGTAGTGTGTATAAAAGGTACACATAATGATACTTATCATCTCTAGAATTGCAGCTATATTACCCAACATATTTTTTCCATGTTGGAATGTCAGTCTCTTTTGAAATTACACATTTTTCAAGTTTCCATCAGTGGTCCCCAATTCACTATTCCTGATATGATACTTGACTCAATTGTAATTGACCTAAAAACAGGGTAGAGGGAATATTTGTACAACTGAATAATCCCTCTTATGCTGTATCCATTGCATGAAAAATCTTATTTAAGCAGCCCCTACCTTACCTAAACCCCTGTGTTGAATGTTTCCCATCAACAAAATCCTTTAAGCTACACTGCCCATAGGATATGTGGACTTCAGTGCAATTTTGTCTGGCTGAAGACAGCCCTGGCAGTTTGAATGAGTCTGTTAAGTGTCTTGAGTTCTGTGGAAATAGGTTGAGCTCAGGGGTACCTGGCATACACTGCTCTCACTGTGTATGTGCCTCCCCTCAGAGGGTCAACTGGACTTATGATTCCTGCAGTGGTCCTCTAAGACTCTCAGATCTTCCTTATGGCTTCAAAGATTTCTTGGAGAAAAACTGACACAGTGTGAAACTCAACTCAGTATAAACAACTGAAATGGAGTCTTTTCATTGGTCAATAATGACAAAATGAAATGGCCATAAACCCGTACACTGTTACACTGACTCTCGGCAGAGAAATTATTTTCAGCCAAGGTTGGTTGCATTGGGTCCTGTTTCTTCAGTTTTAGATGATTCATTCTTTCAACTGGTGGGCAAAGTTTTATAGCCCAGCTTATACTTCTCATACAGGGAGATTGTCCCAACTCTTTTAACAGATAAATAGTTTCTGACTCTCTCCCTTGTTCTGCATGTTTTTCTAAAAAAATCACATCCCTATTAAAGTTTTGCTGCAGCATATTTAGTGTACACCAAACAAAGATGGAAAAAAATAAATTAAGATTTTCTTCACTGCTGCTCAGTTTCCTTGGTGGTGGTACATCTGCAACAGGAGTTTTTGGTGGAAACAGTCAGAAACTGCTGCATGCTGCAAGCACCAGAAATCTGGGAAGCTAAAATGGAAAGAGGTTAAGGAAAGCAATACATGCAAGAAGACCCTTTCAGTGGAGGGAAGCACCAAGAGGAAGGAAAGCTGCTGTGACAGCACTGTGCAAAACCAAGAATAATTTAAGCAGTTCTGGCACTACGGATAGGACAAAAAGAGAAAAGAAATAATAGTCCTGGGAGAAGAAGTCTCTGCTTATTCCCTGAAAAGTCTGGGTTTGGCTGGTGTAGATTGTTGAAACAAAGCGGTCTCATCTCTGCACTGTATGTTGTGCAGGTTAATAGATGAAGACTTGAAACATATTTGTACTACTCACATGGGCATAGCTCAGAAAGAAAAGCTGGTTGTGTGTGAACTCAAGGCCTGGCAGTAAAGGCTCTTCTTCTCCTCCCCTCTTTTCTGTAATCCATCTCCTGTATGCCTGATAAAATAGAGATATTAAGTGCCTTTCAGCAACATGGAGACTAACCACACCTGTTTCTTTTCTTTTCTTTTTTTTTTTTTTAATAAGTTTCAGATATTTTTCATACACTTACCCTGAAAGCCTCTCGCAAACCCCCATTATCTGCAATGTTTTCTGCCAAAGTCCTCTTGCCTTTCACCTGGCAGAATGAAAGAATATCATTCATTTGACCCGTTTCTGAACTTCTTGATCAACTTCAAGAAACACAGCAAAAAATAAAACAAGGTGAGAAAGATCTCAGTCAATTTCAAACATCATATCTCTGGTTGAAAAACTGAGTTTTGATGTGAAAACTGTCAGTAAACAATCTGCTATGATGAGTTATCCTGGCTCTGGTCCTAGGTCTCTCTAGCACAAAATCAGTAGATAAAATGCACTCAAGAGTCCAGTCTTTGATCTTTGATCTGAGCATCAATAATTTTCCCCTGAAGACTGCTTTTATCTGGTTAAATGTGAGATCCAGTAGCCCCTTTCTTAAACTTTTATCTAAAAGGTTATATTTGTTTCTCTGTGTAACTCATACTACTGGGATAATAAAATAACTTTTATGTCATAACATAAACCAGTGTAATTAAAAATAACTGTCAGTGACAGAATTGAAATTGATATTATATTTAGTGCTCTAAAAATATCTACAAAGGAGATTCACATTGCTTTTCCCCGGTATTGATTCCAAGAGCAAGAGCAATAGCAACAAGAATATATTATGAGAAGCAGTGCTATCTAAACTTTGTAAAAAAGCCAGTCTCCTAGTATTACCAAGTACAATATCATTATGAAGAAATCCTTATTTCTGCAAATGCAGCATTATCTCTGACCACCCAGCCTACTAAGGTCTTAGTGTTACCAAACTGTATTTGTAATTAAGCAGTTTTGCTCTCCACTATGCCTCGAATAAGTAAGGTAATTGAACACAGTTCTGAGCAGAACTCTGAAGGTCAATGCCGGCCTGCCAACAACAGGCTTTCCCATGCCACAGAGATGAGTATAGGGGCGTTTCCATTGGGACTCACCTTAATTTCAGGATAATAAAAGAGGGGAAAATGGGGGAGAAGAGGTAAAAGGGCCTAGGGGATACCCAGGCAGGAGTGTAGAGTCCCACCACTCATGGCAGATGAGCACCCAGATTGGACTCAAGGCATCTTGCTCGATGCCTTGGGACCAATGTTACACCCAACGATCTAATAAAGGAGAAATGGGATCAGTAGAGGAAAGTGCACTCCTTTCCTGCCAGCCTTCCCTCCCCTCAGGAGGCTGGAGATAGAGGTGGGAAAAAGGTTCTTAGAAGAAAAGGTGCTGGGACACTGGGAACATGCACACACACCAGCTGCCTTTTTTTCCGGCCTACCTACTCATACATTTTTCTTTCAGTGGACTTGTGAAGTAGACTGATTTAGAGCATAAGATGAGAGTAACCTAGCAGTGGCACTTGGGCCACAGGTCATTTTAATAAGTGGAAGAAGTCTTTCTGCTGATCTCAGGCAGCTCTGGGTCAGGTATCTGAGACTACTGTGTACAGACAATTCGTGACAGGGCTCAGGGACCATGATAAGCCCTTTATTTGATCAGATGACTTTATGTGATTACTGCACTCTGAAGGTATTTCTATATTCATTTTTTCTTTCATTCCAATTCTTTTCTGGAGACATTTTTATTGTAAACCAGATGAGAAAGAAAAAGAGTAAATAGGTTTCTTGATCCATGAAAAATATAAAAAAAAAAAAAAAAAAAAAAAGCTCTTTGCATATACAGCTCTTTATACAGAAGCTATAAAATATGGCAGAAAATATGAAGATTCTCCTTCTACAATCTAAAAAATGCTTCCCACAGAAAAAGGAGGAAAAAGACCTGTGGATGACAAAGTTGAGGGTAACAGGATCTATCTATTAAGCCCATCTATGGACTTCAAAGGCAGTAGCTACAATGGAGGGGAAATTCAGATCTACCCTATCTCAAGAGAGACAGAGAAGGTAAAGGAGTGGCCAAGACAATGGCAGGAGCATGGGAATGGCCCAGTCACATCCTTGGGGAAGGTTTTAATGACCTTTTTTAAGGGGCATTTTTCTATTGACAGTTTTTGCCCTACAGATATTTAGCAAGGAGCCTGAGAATTTTTATTTGTAAATTAGCTTATATGAAGTGCTTCAAATCTGAGTTGTTGGACTTCAGAATGGACTACGAGATGGTTTTGTTATCTCTGAGACTAATACAAGCAGTCTGGGTTAAATGTTAAAATTATGGATAAGTATTCAATGTGACATCTCTATTCTTAAAAACAAAGGCATAATTGTATTTCTGATTCTAAAGTGTAACTAGAGGTGGTAGAATTGATTAGGGGAGTAGGCTATGTGTTTCATCTTGAAAATTAAGATTAAAATCATGTCCCAGGCAACATGACTGGATTTTTAGCTATTGATTTCTGGAGGTCTGGGATTTATCCTATTTATCTTTCATTTTGGACACATATAATGTGCACATTTTCAGGGAAACCCATAGCATTGACAGACAATGAAACAGAAACCATTCCCTTGTACTTTCTTTCTCAGATATTTTCTGTGAGCTGCTGCTATCATCTCCCTTCATTTGCGATACAAATTGGGTCTGCATGTACACATGGAAGAAATAGCAAGAGCTGAATCTGAAATAAAGTAGGGTTTATGCATCCATTTTATAGATGTAATAAACAACAGGTCGAATTTCTAAAGGAATCTATAAAACATGCTATTATATTCTTTTTAAAAAGAGTGACTGCTCAGTTTTCATTATGGACCTCATCTTCAGAAGACATTTAACATCCTCACAGTAATTAGACCAACCCTGCCGAGTGGCTTCATCTTCTTCCCCTGATTCCAAAACAATGTGATGGGGAAAAATGATTTAACCCTGTCACCAGGGTGTGGGGAGCGGTATCTGAATGGACTAATCAATTCTGACAGACAATTTTTATCACAATTATTCATTTCAAGAAAGTGATTTGTTGTGAGAAATGAAATTGGTGGTCTAATATCCCAATATGATGGGATTCATAAAAAGATAAATCACAAAAAAACCCCACCAAAACTCCTAATGTACCATTGCTTTCAATCACTGGTGTTTTACATACATGTAAGCCGGCTCTCTTCCAGTAGTAATTGCTGTATTGATTAATCATGCATTTTGTTTTCTCTTTAAAACTTTCTTCAGAGTCAGTTGTCCACCAAGGGTCTAAATTTCCATTTTTGTCATATTTCCGACCTTAAAAAAGGAAGAAAGAAACCAAATGTTTTTTGTAGGAGAAAACCTCACACATTTCCAGTTTTGGAATCTATCACCTGCACAGAAATAAGAAGTGATTGTATTCATGCAAGTGTGTGTACAAAATGGGTAAGATTAGTGAGCAAAATCTTGACCCCACTCAAGTCAGTGGTGAAGAGCTGGCATTCTATTTATCGTCATAATTTCCATTTTCAGAAAAAAAACAGTAATGACTAATGAGTTCTATATTACATTTTATAATTACAGAGTGTAAGAAGCATATCAGCTTTCTTTTAAGTATAATTGTGAGTATTTTTCATTCTCAGCCCATATGTTTTTGATTCTGCAAACCTGATGATAACTAATTTATTATTAATTAATTATACATTTGACGAGAAAAAATCCATTTCATGGAAACTTCTGAAGTTTCCATTTCTTGCCTTGGAGCAAAACCAGAACATCTGAACCCTATTCATGCAAGCAAGGGGAATACATACATCCCATTCTCCAGGCTGATGGTTACAGCAATGGCTCATAGAAGATTCAGCCTCAGGTCCCTGCTCTATGTAATTTGTTAGGAGAGTATCTGATCTCCATCATTTGTCCAGCCATTGAGACATGTTAGGACTTTTTTGGAGAACAGGTTTAGCTGCCCATGTAGACACTGTCTTTTTCTGTGAGTTCATTCTTCGTTATGACTGCAGGAAAGAGAGGTAGGGAGCAACCAGGAGACATGATACCAAGTACTGAAGATGTATTCTTTCATCTTTTTATTTCTTTATTTTTTTCCCTGTGTGTTGTCTTGTTGAAGATCACAAATACCCTATAGATGTATTTATTTCTATATTTGGAAGGTAAGACCCTAGGAAAGAGGTAGCAGTCTGTTTAGGGAATCAAATCCTAGGTTCCTCTCTGACTGGCTGGAGACATGATGGAGAATAGATAGTCTCCTACAAATGAGATGGGAGTTTGTAAAGAAACATTTCTCCATTCCAGAGTGTTTGCAGACACTAAATGTTATAGAGCACTGCCAACATGATACAAGGTTTTCCTTTAATTTTTTAAAAGGTATTCAAAGTAACACAACATAAGCAACCTGACTTTACTTATCAGTGAGCTAGATGCCTGCTTTTCCTTACACTCGCTGTATTTTCAGTGGAAAGAGGTTTTTCTAAACAGAGCGGGATGTCAGTCAAGCACTCAGAATTGCTCCCTGGAGAAGGAAGTTCATGTTTCTCCCTTCACCTCTCTCTCTCAGGAGCTTGATTTTAAAAAGCACTTTACTGAAACGGTCAAAGTTAGATAGTAGCAATGCCCCACTCCACCTAGTTTTTCAGGACAGTTGGTTTGACACTTTCAGATCATTTCTTCTTTTTTTTTTTTTTTTTTTTTTTTTTTTTTTCTTTCTTTTTCTTTCTTTTTTTTTTTTTTTTAATAGTTTGCAGTACATTTTCTGTTCCACTTTTGTTCCAGTGTTGTATTTTAATGTTTGTACATAATTGTCTTTTGAGAAAAGTAAAAACTAAAATTAAAAATTTTCTTGGAAGTAATTTTTATCAATCAGAAGTTATCCCTTTGCACTTCCCAATCCCCCCAGCCAGGAATTCCTCAATCTGTTGCTAATTTAGTTATCATTCCAAACAAACAGAAAGTGTCAAACTTGTGCCATTCCTTACCAAACAAAATCTGGTTCAGAAAAACAAGGTTTTATGTAAATAAATTTTAAAATACCTCATAATTTTTTCAGATTCCAGCATTGTTAAAACCCAAAACAATAAAAAACCTAAAGTATACACAAGTCAGCTTTCTAATTAATCAACATATAGACACTCACCATTGCTATCAAATCCATGAGTAAACTCGTGGCCAACAATGACTCCTATGGCACCATAACTTAATGACCTGTATGTAACACAAAGAAGTTTCTTCAGAAAGTGTCCACACCCATGAACATTAAAGGACAGAAGATCTCAGGAAAAATCTTAATCTATTTAAAATGGTAGGGAATGGTTTTAAAAAATCATCCCTGCACAATTTTGACTTAAAGTTGTTGAAAGCCTGAATGTTAAACTCTTACTTGTTTAAAAGCGACCTTTATTATAAAAATTTAAAATGCATTGTCACTGTTCTCTCTTTTAAACAAATCCCTTACTAGTATCATGAGCTACAAAATGGCTCCTTCATCTGACTGCATTGTATATAGTCTAACTGAGAACCGGACAAAATGATAGGTGAAATTATTCCCTTAATGTCATCATGAAAAAAGAATAGATCAAAAGCTGCAATGAGTTTGCCAGCTCCAATCATTCTTCACTGGTGTGCAATAAACAGACTTGCAAATGACTGACTCTAGTTTGTAAAGCATTAACCAGATCTCCCTTGAGTGGTAAAAAGATAGGTCATACAATTTCCTTGCACCTGCCCAGTAATATGATCTCCAGTCAGATCTAATGCACTGGAGAAACAGAATAGAAAAAAAAAAAAGTATTTCTGATTGACAATTAGTTATATTTTCCTTGTTATATGCAAATAAACATGCACATGGGAAAAACAGGGATTAAAGAGGAAAAGGTTCAGGGCTTTTTTATACCAAATGTAGTGGATATTATGGAGGGAAGCTGATCTACTAAACGCATCTTTTATTTGTTAAGTTATTCTTTGTGATTTTAATTATTTCAGTTATTGAGATGCCATACTTCAAAATAGCTTATAGTATTTCTAATATGGTATTGAAATGGGAGAAAGGCAGAGGGTTTTGAAGTAACATGTTATTACTGGACCTAATGATCCATAGCACACTAATTGCTTATCTCAGTTATGCCCAAAAAGTATTGTATCATTTAATTCCTCCTGCTCCCATGACAATTCTTCACTTCGTTTTTTTCTTTCCCAAAAGTTAATTTCATGTGATAAAATCATCCCTACTGTTGTTAGGTTGGTTTTTTTTTTCTCCAAGTACTTCTGTAAACCTTCACTAAAAAATGCTGGTTAAAATTATACATTTCAGCAATGGAAATGTCATTCTTTTGTGAGACAAATTTGTAAGCTTGCATATGACACTGATAATTACCCATACTAAACGTACTATATTAGACTTTTTTTCTACATCTGAAGTAAACTGGTTATAAAGGATCTTTTGCATGAAAAACATGGCACAAAACATGTAAAGAGGTCAAGAAAGATTAATAAACCCTATTACTAAATACATATTATTTTTCCTCTAAGGTTCTTGGTCACCATGAGTGGCAGGGACAAAGAACAGGCTGGTGACCAACCACTCCTAGGTTTTCCCCATCTCCAAAAGGTGGGGTGAAGTTGGGTGTGAATTTTGGCCTTTGCTTCTGTGAACTGCCTTCAGTATTTTTTCCAGCTCAAAAACATTTCTGCCAAAACAACATTTTGTTCATGCTCTTCCCTGCTGGGGCACAGCTGGGAAGAGATGGAGGGGATTAGGTGAAGTCATACAGGTGCCTCATTAAAGGGGAATTTTCTGGGACTGAAGGAAGCTACCAACTCATTTGAAGGCTCTATTTTAATATATCTGGCACTGAAGACTCATAAGTATGAATGATGGCATTTGAATGGTATTTTATTTCATGTACTGAGATGTAAAGTGATAACGTAGCTTTCCTTTATGCAAATAGATGCAACTGTTTTATAGTGGTTATGCTGGAACTGGACACTAAAATGCCACTAAATGTTAAATATTTGCTAAATCAGTTTTCCAGCAAGTGCCGATGACATTTTGATGATTCTTCTCTTCCAGTGCCATGTACTGTTTCTTTTAAGCAGACAGAAAACAGGTCCAGAATATTTCAAGGACAAAAGCAATCTGTTGTCTGATATAAAACAGCTACATTTGTTTACTAAATTTAATTTTGATACTTACTCAAGCAAAACCAATTTAAGCTAAGGTAACCTTTAAAGAAGAGAAATGAGCAAAGTATAATTCTTTGAAAGAATCACAATTTTATCGCTATGGCAGAAGGTCAAGGTACAGAGAAATCTCTTCAGAAAGCAAAGCTTGAAACAGGTCTGCAATAACCACAGCAGAAAATAATTTCAACTTAACAAGAAAGGACTTTCTTCTATCCCCAATTACCACTTAGAAAGTCACCTGGCTCATAAGAATTCTCTTTGAATGCAAATTCATATGTTCCTAAATTGAATGTGTCTCTACATATACTGGCAAATTTCCTGTTTACAAGGACACTTCCAGACTGGAAGATGGCAAACCTAAGATCTTTGAAAAGTTGTGGGGGTTTTTTTAAACAAAATTTATTAAGGATATGTTTCACCAGTAACTGGCTTTATATATAACTGTAAAATAACTTTCAGAAACTGCCATCAGAAACTTTTCATGATCTTATTCTGCCCTAAAATATAAAGTTATTGAACTGCATGAAAGCAGTGATTTCTCAATATTAAATATGTGTGACCTATAATTAATTACTCTTCCTCAGCTACAGTAGCACATGGGCCTGCTCAGGCAATCTTAGACATGCAGATATTCTCAGGCACCTCAACAAGCACAGGTGAAGGCCCACTGTTAATCTTAGGTATAAGTAGAAAGTGAACAATAAACTGATAATAAATGGCTTCTCAGGGTATTCACTTCTGTTCAGGAAGGGTTAGTTACCTGATTTACAATTCCTTTTAATACCTGCCATGTGCACACTGCTACATCTGCATGCTGTAGCATTGAAACACTTCCACTTGGGTGCACTTAATTAGCAATTCCTGTGAGAAATCAGTCATCAGTTTAAGACAACAGCAACACATACAGCTCCCAAGGGTGAGAAAAGTTATTGCAGAAAGCAGCAGTTTTCAAAGTCTGTTTTTCAATAGTAAAAGCAGGACACAGTGGAGAAGAACACACAACCCAAGGGCCAAGAAGGACAACACAGTATTCCTGTGCACTATCTGTTGGTCATCTTCAGCGGTGTGGCCATCTTCTCCATTCCCTCTTCTGTGTCTATGTGTATTTCCCTGTCATTCCTCATTTCCAGGTGTATGAGATTCCCTGGTGCAGTACTTACCTAGGATACTCTCTTCCCCAAAAGAAAGGCTTTTGCAGTTCTCCTGCTGGGAATCCTGCAATAGCAAAACCAGTAATAGTGAGGTCCCTAGTTCAATACAGCTGAATAACAGCCAGAAGCCTTGAGAGTTTGGATTTCATTACTTTTTTTGTTTAGGTTCAGAAAGTTTTGCTAGAGGAGCTTTCCCTCAGGTGGTAGTTACAGAAGGCAGTAGAAAGGACCCCTGAGAAGCAGCAGTCCCCTCTCCTTCAGGATCATAATGGCAACAAGATGCTGCTCTGCAAGAACTTTATTTTGTTCCACGGCTACACACAGGTCTGTGTGTGCAAGTGCATGTGTAGCTGTGGAAAAAACACCTAGTGTTTCCTGTGAAGAAAATTACTTACTAGATTGCCCTCAGATGTTCTGACAGACCAACAGACAATATATAAGTAAAATGCAACAAAAATTGAGATGTTAGCTTAGTGAGGCTTCAGTGCAGCAAGAGACATATGAAAGTGATGAAATGTAAGCCTAGTTCTATATAGTCTATGAAAATCAAAGAACTTAGGCACTTCAGTAAAGAAGAGCTGTAGATTATTAAGGCTATAAAATCAGTCTAGCTACAGGAATTACCTGGCTGCTTCTGGTAGGCTAACAAGTCACCAAAAACCTGTCAGTAGAGACACTCTCGCAAGTAATGATCTAGTGATGTTGTACATAGGAACCAAAATTGCTCCTCAAATTCTAAGTCACAGGTCTATTTCTAATTCCTGGATGACATTTCAGTGCCAGGATTCTGAAGACAGTGGAGCTGAGCATGGTAACAGTTTAACAGCCCAAAGAACTGCTGAATAAAACAAGACACCTATGGTCAAAGTTTTTGATTGCTGGTGAAAAGCATCATCTTTCCAGGCCCAGATGTGGAATTTGATGTATCATGTCAGGAATTCCCAACTATAAAGCACAGGCACACACCTACTTTGAAGGTTACCCCACAATGACATCGCCTTATCAAGGAAGAACCAGTTTCCTCAGGTCATTTGCTTGCTTTCCTAGAAACCTCTGCTTCAGCTTATGGATATCTCTTCAAGAAATCACCTGGCTACTCAGTTCAAAACAAAAACCACATTCACTGGATTCTAACCCTATTCAGTTTTTTGTTGACAGACAGGACATGCATTTCTTTATCTGAGATAAATTGTCAGGCAAGATTTTTGTCCTTTCCTTACAAAGTCATTAAAGACAATATGCTGAGTGTAATTCATGTCAAATGATGTGGCAAGTGGCAGGTCCTCCTGGCCTGCCCATCTGCCTTTTTCAGCTGCTTCTCCCTGGTTGTCTTGACTACCTATTTGCAATTAGTTTACAAAAAGTGTGTTTTTCAAACTTATTTCTCCAGATGCTGTTTTGTTGTTTCAAGCATGTTATCATTTGCTTTTCCAGTGCTACAAAACACAATTGTACCAACGTCAAGGACAAAGATTTCCTGATATAACTCTCTTTGCCTCCCAGAACACACAGAAGAGTATTTACTATGTATGTTTTTAAACATCTAACAATAATGGTACAGTCATGCAACCTGATGAAAATTGCTTGTTACTATACTAGGTTGACAGCTGGTGTTAATAGATGGAAATCTAGTCTGAACTACATTGCCTGGTTCCTTCCAAATATTGAACCTCAAGAAAGGTTTCTGGTCATGCCAAGGAGACCATTTAATGAAGGAATCATTAGGGTCTGCCAATCCTGGATGATCCTCTCCCCCAACAGCAGATGAGAGGAATTGTGACCAAAACAAACAAATGAGCCCATACTGAAGGTGGTATGAACCAAGGTAGCACAGTCACCCCACAAATCATATTTGGGAATCACACAATATTGTGCACCTCACACTAAGACGCTATTAAGCTCTTGTAAGGAAATGTAACTATTTTGTCCAGGTATAGAATTGTGTAGTGAATTTGCACTTGTCTGTGTGCCAGATAGAGGTAATATACATTATTTACAGTAAACTAGGTGCAAACCTTCACTTAGGCTCATCCATCTAAGAAATATAATCTAAAGGTGTCTTCACAAGACATTGCTGAAACACAGTCAGATGTGAGTTAAGCCATGAGATAAAGTTTTCACTGTACGTCACATGAATGAAGGGGAAGAAGATCCAATCCTGAATCCATACAACAGATTGACAATTATTTTACTCAAAATCAGGGTCCATTTCAGTTAAGATATGCCTGAGCATAGAACTGCTTGAAGGAGTGGTTTCTACTTCTGGGCAGCTGTGTGAAACACCTTTGTAGTTTGATTGCACTAAAGGAAGCTTAGGAAGCATTTTCGGGCCAAAGCAGAGTCAGAAGCTACTAGAATGTAATACACATCTTTTAAAAACTCAGGGAACTGGAATGTATTACCCGCAATAGGATATTTTTTTCTTTTTTAAGAAAAAAAGTATCTAGTTTTGAAAGTGATCCTCGGGCACCTAGTAAAGTAAGAGTGTCCTATGCTCCAGAGATTAGTAGCACTAAATGAGGAGGGGTGCTTGTCGACTAGATTGCAGCCCTACAAGGAACAGATTCAGAGTTGGCAACACAGGGCATCCCTCTGTATGCAATGTCTCCCTCAGGCAAGCAGCAACCAGATCATCCTTGAAGGAAACAGGGATAATAATGTACTAGACCTAGAATCTCCATGAAATTATAACAAGAGATAGATCACCTAACAGTTTCTTATTTTGTGTTGTTTTGAACTCCTCAATTTAGGCAACTCCCTTGTGAAGTTTGTTTCGTGCTTGCTTGGCATATTATACGTTAAAGGAATTAATGACAACACTCACAGAACTCATAGTAGGCTATAGAAGCAAGAAATACTAATGGGATTATTTATATGCCACTGGAGTTCAAGCAAGCAAAGGACTGATCTGGAGAAGTAAGTCAGCCAGACTTCAAAGGATTTCACATCTTAAGGAATGGATACAGGCACTGGGAAAGTACTTTAAGCTGATACTTCACCATAAATTTAGCCTGTAGTGCATCTTTGCATGCTTTCTCCCTCTACACAGCCCCAGAAGAGGGATACAGGCTGAAAGACTCTCCGTACACTTTATTGTAATGCAGGCTCAAAGCCCACACTCAAGGCCATTACTCACCAACAGCGCACAGAAAGAAAATTGTGTTGTCTTATTACAGACCTCACACAAACCTATCTGCCATGTGTAGGACCTGGACTTCTGACTTGCCTACCTTCTTACAACCTACCTATGTTTGGAGCAATGTCATAGGACTGCAGCATTATTCTGAGATAGGCACTGGTATCACATGCCACAAGAGCACTGGAGGTCTGTGGACAGCCGAGTTTAAGCTGTTACAGACAGCACTGATACCCTGCATCCATGCGTCTTACAGGTGGCAAGGTGGGACAGTCAGGCTAGATTGTCCTCCAGATGGACTTTGTGCAACCAACTGCAACAGTCCAGATGTTCTGATCATAGCCCTTTAAGCCCCAGCAGTTCAAAATGTTCTCTCTCCACCTGACTATCCATTTCTCTAGACTACTTAATCAGTTTGTATTTGAGAGTGTTAGGGGAGACAATGCTGGAAGTCTTGCTAAAGTCAAGATGAATTACATTCATGGCTCTTCCCTCATCCACCAAGCTAGTAATCTCACTGTAGAAGGCTGGTCAAGAAAACTGTTTCCAGGATTTACTCCATCATGTACACAGGGACTGATGTGAGGCAGACAAGCTTGTAGTTCCCTGTATCTTCCTTCTCGAAGATAGCAGTGACATTTGCTTTCTTCCAGTTCTCAGAAACCTCCCTCAGTCACCACAACCTTTCAAAGATAATCAAGTGTCCTCACAATGACATCAGCCAGTTCCTTCATCACTTGTCAGAGCTGTTGGACAGCACCCTGTCAGAGCCAGTGGACTTGGGTCTGCCCAATCTGCTTAAATACTCACTAACATTCTCCTCCATTGAGGGTAAGTCTCCTTCCAGACTTCCCCTCTGGTCTCAAGGTCCTGGGGTTCCTGAAAGCCAGTCTTACTAGTAAAGACTGAGACAATGAAGGTATTGAGTACCTTGGGCTTTCCCATGTCATTTATCACCAGGTCTCTTGCTCCCATTAAGCAGTGGGACCACATTTTCCCCTAGACTTTCTGCTGCTGCTACACTTGCAGAAACATTTCTTGTTGCCCTTCACATCCCTTTCCAGATTCATCTCCAGGTAGACTTTGGCTTTCCTAACTCCTGTGTCTGGACCCTCGGTCAGAAATCCTTTGCTGAACTTTCCTATTATCTTACTGCTCTGGAACGCAGGGGCATTTCAAGCAGTGGAGTACATCTGGCTTACTTCAAATATTTCACTCTGAATTTATGCTGATCTTGAAGCTCTGACAGCACTCTTTACCTGCACAGGACTACTTTTAATTTAACCGAAGGTTTCTACCTTCATTTTATCCATTATGTCATTATTCAGCCCCTCTCTGCAGCAAGGTCCTATAAAGCTTGTTAGAATGTATTTCAGATTTGAAACTTTTTTTTGTCCAATTTTACAGGGGCTTTACTGCCATTAATGAATCCATTTACCAGGTAATACCTTCATGGTATTATTATACACATTTTGCAGATGAACGCCCTGACGCGCAGTTACTTCACTGAGGAAACACAACCAATCACATTTCATCTGATAGTTCACCAAAAGGATGCAAACTAATAATTGATGAAGTACACTAAAAACACATGGGATGGCTGGCCAAATCATGAGCAAATTTGGAGTTCAAATCTAAATGTTACTTCAAATTCTATAGTCTAATTACATTATTCAGTTATATTGAATGATATTTTTAACTGAGTAGGACAAGATCTAGCAAAGTCTTATTCGAAGTCAGTGCATTTACAATTTCTAATAATTAATTAGCTTGTTTAAAGCAACTTCTGGCAGGATAGTGAATCCATTACGTAACTAATGGATATGGGAGAAAGCTATGCTAAATTGTGTGATATACAAGATACTCTGTCAATTTCTGTACTGGCAATTCTCAGATATGTTTAAAAGCTGTAACTTGTATTTCAAGTG